TGATTCGGTCCCCAGCGGGGCAGGCACAAAGTATGTCCTCTTCTGTTTCATTTTCCAAACAGAGGCGACACACACTGTCTACCGACAGTCCAAGTCTCTGCATATGATAATTCAAATGATAGTGACCTGTAAGAAAGCCTGTTAGACACCGCAGTTCATCCACACTGTAGTCCAACAACTGTTTGGTATCAAGCTTCGAAGGGTGAATCAACGCCTTGGAGCGAGCCAATCCTGGGAGATTCTGCCAGAAGTCCATAAATCATCTTGTCATCCAGGTGTTCAATGTTTGTTTGGCAAAGCCTAAAGCGAAGCCAATGACAGGTTCTGGTCCAATGAAACTGCGTGCAGCACCCTCCTTTCCAAGGGAGTCAGCAGCTTCATTGCCTTCCAGGCCAGTATGGCTAGGAATCCAGACCAGAGACGATCTGTTGAGTCTTCTTATCGATGAGAGTCGTTTTTGGCAATTTGCTACCAATTTAGACGTTGCTCGGTAGGAGCCAAGAGCTTGCAATGCCGCTTGACTGTCCGAGAATATTTTTATTGACTTGTGTATGAGGTTGGATTTATCCAATCTCTCCCCACACAATTCAATAGCGTAAATTTCCGCTCAAAATACAATTGCATAAGTTCCTAGGCAGGTAGATATCTCTGTCCTGGGTCTGCGACTAAAAACACCTGCACTAGAACCGGAAGGTGGTTTTGATCCATCTGTGAGCCAACAACTATCTGCTCTTAATAATATTTCCTTCTTTCGGAGGATCAAGTCCTTTCTACTCAGAAATAGTACTTTATGAGGCAGTTCGTAGTTGACAGTTGCAGGCATAAAGTCATAGGTCATTTCCAGAATGCTGTGACTTCCAGTGTCAATCAACAGTCTGCTGCACTCTGCATTAAATTGATTTGTGCAATTGGCAATGTGCACAAGTCTGTATGCAGTCCATCTACCCCCTTGGTCGTCAAATTGCGGCCCGCGGGCCGCATGTTCTCCCCTACGCTTTCTGAATCCACCTGTCGCCGTCATGTTGAAGATATTTGAAAAAATTTGCTTGGAGCATTAATTGACGAACTTGAACGTACTGGAATCACAAGCAGTCTTGCTTGTGATTCCAGTACGGATATAACTTCTATGTCTCAGTGCTCATTATTTTTTCGGTACTGTCCAATGGACAGAATCATAGAAGAAGACTTCTTAGTAGTAATTATCATGAAGGGTCATACGAGAGGTTGTGATTTTAAGGAAGTTCTGAAAGAATTTGTGGAAAAATACAAAATACCTGTAAAAAAGTTGATTTCAGTATGTACTGATAGTTGTCTGTCAATGGTGGGTGCAATTAATGGTTTGATTCCTTTAATGGAGAAGGAATGGAATATACCTAATTTGTTGCCTATTCATTACTTGCTGCGTCAAGACATTTTGGCATGTGAAATTTCAAAAAACAAATTGAAAGATGTAAGTATTATAAATGTTATTCGTGCCCACTAAGTTAATCATCGAAAATTGAAAGACTTTTTGACGAATTACAAGCTATAATTATAGCGATGTTATCTTACATACAGCCATCAGGTGGTTAAGCAAGTGTGCAAACGCTCTTAGAGTGCCTTCACATTAGGTCGCGCGGCTACCGCGCGACTTCCTTACTACAAAGTGACGCGCGGTTGTTGTGCGACCTAATGTGAAGCGGCCCGGCGCTGACACCCACATTGTCCTGTGTGGCCCTTGGCCAGAAAAGTGTGACGACCGCTGAATCTAGCCTCTCTTCAGAAGAATGTGGAGAGGAGGTAGATCTAGAAGGATCTCCATGGCCGCTGACGGTAAGTGAAGATATAATTTTTACCTGAGACATCATTATACCTACTTTTACGATCTATTCTAATTAGCCATTTCCTCGCTGCAAACTGAATTCAATAAAGGGAAATGATTCAAATCTATTTGATCAGTCAAGAAGTAATCCCGAATTCTTCAATCTATTGATTTATATGCATTCCAAAAGGTTGAAATTTGAACCTTTCTCTTCCAAATGCAATACGTCATAATCGTGATTGTTCTCGTACCCCTTTGTCAACAAAGATGAGTTGCAAATATTGAATTGATCTTCTCATACAAATAACTACTACTATGGTCTATTCTGCATTTCTTTATAAATAATTTATTCAATAATACCCGCTTCTTTATTGTTCTCAATGAACTTACTCGAATTAATATTTTTTCAGTAGGCTACGTCCAATTATGTTGCCTTTTAATAAACGAACGAAAATATCAGTAGGATCACCAAAGTAAGTCAGAGTAACATAATGTTTAGTATCACTGGTTCATAGCTTGTTTCTGTATTTTTTTATAAAGAATGTATTCCATAACACCCGCTTCTTTATTGTTTTTAACGAATTTATTCAAATTATTATTTGTTCTGTAGGATACGTCCAATTATTCGCCTTTTAAAAAACGAACGATAATATCAGTGGGATCACCAAAGTAAGTCAGAGTAACATAATCTGTTTAAAATCTGTTTTTCCGTTAATCAGCTGTCGCTCCAATACGAACGACAACTCTCAGAAGTTGAGAAACTTGTGCGAGCCAAGGAATAACTAGGTCTTAACTTTCAACGTGTTATTCCTAACACGGTATAATGGTCAGTAACACTCTTTGAAACTGGGTAGACCTGGTTCATAGCTTGTTGCTGCATTTTTTTATAAAGAACTTTTTCAATAACACCCGCTTCTTTGTTGTTCGTAATGAATTTACTCAAATTAGTATTGGTTCTGTAGGCTACGTCCAACTATTTGCCTTTTAAAAAACGAACATTTATATCAGTAGGATCACCAAAGTAAGTCAGAGTAACATAATGTTTAGTATCACTCTTTGAAACTGGATAGACCTGGTTCATAGCTTGTTTCTGCATTTTTTTATAAAGAATTTATTCCATAACACCTGCTTCTTTATTGTTTTTAACGAATTTACTCAAATTATTATTTGTTCTGTAGGCTACGTCCAATTATTTGCCTTTTAAAAAACGAACGATAATATCAGTANTTTTGTAACAAATGCACACTTGTCAGAGTAACATAATGTTTATTATCACTCTTTGAAACTGAATATGCCTGGTTCATAGCTTGCTTCTGCAATTTTTTATAAAGAATTGATTCAATAATATCCACTTCGTAATCGTTTACGAAAGCAGTATGTTTTATGAAAATCAGTTCTATTTGAAAATTGCTTCCTAAAGGTGCAATATTCAATAGTCTGTGAATCATAATATCAAATGCTGCTACTTTATGTTGATATGGATGTATAAATGACTTGTGTAATAATGTTTATTGATGATAATTATTTATAACCATAAAACTAAGTTTTAAGTATTATGCAGTGGAACAAAAAAATGTCCAGCAAAATTCGTTCTTTCGAAAAAATAGGCAGACTCACCAAAAATAGTATCAGCTTTTTATCAGTTATATAACAAAAAAGGATCATCAGTAGTAATGCTGAATTGACTAACATGCTCATTACATAAAAAAAATATTATGGGACAGCCACAGCGACCATTTTCACTGCAGACACAGTTTTCTATAGGTAATTATTTTGTTAAAGTCGCCTTGGGGTTCATTCATAAATTGAAATTCAACTATGATAAAAAATAAGACAAAATAATTTGAGTAATAAAAAATAGTTTCTTGAACTCCATTTCAAACAGTGGAAACTAGAGCTCCGAAATAACGTAATGGGGATCCAACACCATACATCGCTGTTTCGACCCACTAAGGTATCATCAGTGGTACTAGACTGAATCACAAATGCATATTTTCCTCAAGAGATAAACTTGAATCGTTTGTTTGCTTCCAATGTTATCTTGTTTGTGACACATCTTACTTGAAAGTATCTCATTTCTCGTTGAAAAATGCATCTATATTTGGCCCTCAAGGCCCTCGATATTTTATCTTATTCATCGCTACCCTCGAATATCATTTCAATAATTGGGCATAGAGCCCCCCTAAGTTCATTCACCCCTCTCATGAACGCAATATTAATATGAAAATAAATCGAGAAAAGGAAAATAGAAAATCCAATTTACCTGCCATCCCTGCAGAAGCAGACTTCTATCGACTGTCCTGAGCCACATTACAGCGTCCCCGGCTTGAAAATCCCTCAGCTTGTAGCATTTGGCGTGTAGAAACATCCCCAGGCACTTCAGCAGCTCTGAAGTGGAAGCTTGAATAACAGTCTTCTTTGGGGCAGCCACAGGGACGACCTGATTTTGGGAGTTGAGATTCTGGCTCAGGAGAGCCTGTTTATTACCTACTTTATCGCAATTAACGTGATTGTTAGTATTGTTGTTGGCGTTATTAACTCTAACAATGTCTAAGGCTAGGGCTGAGGAGCTCTTCGAATTCGAGTAGAACGAACCGTTTTTGTTTTGGTGGATGTTTTTGTTTTTGTCTATGACGGGGTGCATGTTGTCGACCAAGGGCTGCCTGTACACCGTGATGTTCTTGTTCTTGTTGTTCTCCAGCTTCTTCTTGTTGTTGTTCGTGGTGGAGAACCGCTTCCATGACAAGGCGTTGNATAATTTGAATAATAAAAAATAGTTTCTTGAACTCCATTTCAAACAGTTGAAACTAGAGCTCCGAAACAACGTAATGGGGATCCAACACCATATATCGCTGTTTCGACCCACTAAGGTATCATCAGTGGTACTGGACTGAATCACAAATGCATACTTTCCTCAAGAGATAAACTTGAATTGTTTGTTTGCTTTCAATGTTCTCTTGTTTGTGACACATCTTACTCGAAAGTATTTCATTTCTCATTGAAAAATGCATCTATATTTGGGTGGAAAACATAATCCAGAGTTTCAAGGCCCTCGATATTTCATCTAATTCATCGCTACCCTTGAATATCATTTCAATAATTGGACATAGAGCCCCCCATAAGTTCATTCACCCCTCTCATGAACGCAATATTAATATAAAAATAAATCAAGAAAAAGAGAATAGAAAATCCAATTTACCTGCCATCCCTGCAGAAGCAGACTTCTATCGACTGTCCTGAGCCACATTACAGCGTCCCCGGCTTGAAAATCCCTCAGCTTGTAGCATTTGGCGTGTAGAAACATCCCCAGGCACTTCAGCAGCTCTGAAGTGGAAGCTTGAATAACAGTCTTCTTTGGGGCAGCCACAGGGACGACCTGATTTTGGGAGTTGAGATTCTGGCTCAGGAGAGCCTGTTTATTACCTACTTTATCGCAATTAACGTGATTGTTAGTATTGTTGTTGGCGTTATTAACTCTAACAATGTCTAAGGCTAGGGCTGAGGAGCTCTTCGAATTCGAGTAGAACGAACCGTTTTTGTTTTGGTGGATGTTTTTGTTTTTGTCTATGACGGGGTGCATGTTGTCGACCAAGGGCTGCCTGTACACCGTGATGTTCTTGTTCTTGTTGTTCTCCAGCTTCTTCTTGTTGTTGTTCGTGGTGGAGAACCGCTTCCATGACAAGGCGTTGATGAAGAGCGAGTGCTTTTTCAAGTTCTTCTCCAACGCGTTCTTTTCAGAAATGATCCTCGCGTTTTCATTGTTGTTGATGTTGTTGCAGAGGTTGTGGTTGTTGGAGTTCGTTATGCTGATGTTCGTCTTGCTCTCGCGGTTCTTCACGTTGTTCAACTGTTCGTAGGAGACGTTGTTCAGGGTGAAGTCTCCCGTGGAAGAACTCGTGGTGTAAACGGGCCGTCGCTCCCTGGGCGAAAAACTCAACACAGTTCCCATTTTCGCGGTGGTTTACTACTACTACTATTATTACTAGCACATTTTTCCACTATGACTTAATGGCACCGAGCTTCACGGCTGCAATGCTGGCCCAGGGGTCGATCTTTTGAGGAAGACCGGAGCGCCGGCGCTAAGTCTCCTAGCAACCCCCGTGATGTCATAAGAAATCAATATAACCACCCTCTGATAGACGGGAATGATGACTGCCGCAGTTGCAGTGGAAACGTTTGGATATTGTTACCGAAGAAGACCACGGCCAATCCCGGAAACCAACCAAAACATTGACCCCAGCCGTGAAATCATACATTCCTATATAGATGCACAACTGTCAGATTGTGCTGCAATGGCAAAATAAGTGATGTAGATATACATAGGTGAGAAACAGAGGAAAAGTGATGAGTATTAACCATTCACAATTGCCAGATTGTGCTGGGATGCAAAATAAGTGATGTTGATACAGATACTGGCCGAAAAATATTTCACGAACTTAAAACGTTTGGATATTATTTGAAAAACGGGGATGATTTGTTTCCTAATTTCCACAAATATTTACTGAATCTGCTAATAACGCTGCTGAACTGTATTGTAAGGAACGGAGGAGAAGTCAGGTTAGGTTAGGTCCAAAATGACCCTCCACCGCAACCCGCAAGGGTTTATTGTGGCTCACACCTATTCACACTCGACCAAATAAATCCAGCTTCCTAAAGAAGCCGGTTAGTTTGTATTCTGAATGGTGTTTCAGGTAAGATGGTAAGAGTACAGCTCTCCAGACCTCTAAAAACTTGATTCAGTCCCCTGCGGGGCAGGCACAAAGTATTTGCTCTGTTGTTTCATCATTTTCCGAACAGAGGCGACACACACTGTCTTTCGACAGTCCAAGTCTCTGCATGTGAAGGCCATGTAAGGCCATGTAAAAAAGCCTGTTAGACATCGTAGTTCTTCCCTACTGTAGTCCAACAACTGTTTGGTATCAAGCTTTGAAGGATGAATAAACGCTTTGGAGTGAGCCATTCCTGGAAGATTCTGCCAGAAGTCCATGCCAAGGAGTCAGGAGCCTCATTGCCTTCCAGGTCAGAATGGCCAGGAATCCAGACCAGAGACAATCTGTTGGGTATTCATTCCTATTGAGGAGAGTCGTTTTTGGCAATTTGCTACCAATTTAGACGTTGCTCGGTAGAAGCCAAGAGCTTCCAACCCCACTTGACTGTCCGAGAATATTTTTATTGACTTGTGTATGAGGTTGAATTCTTCCAATCTCTCCGCACACAATTCAATAGTGTAAATTTCCGCTTGAAATATAGTCGCATACATTCTTAGGCAGGTTGATATCTCTGTCCTGGGTATGCAACTGAAAACACCTGCACCAGAACCGGAAGGCGTTTTCGATCCATTTGTGAACTTACAACTATCTGCTCTTAATATTTCCTTCTCCCGGAGAATCCAGTCCTCTCTACTCGGGAACAGTACTTTATAAGGCCGTTCGTAGTTGACAGTTGGAGGTATAAAGTCAGAGGCCATTTCCAGAATGCTGGAAATGTAAAAATGTATAAAATGTAAAAATGTATATAAAATTTGTAAAGCTATGTAAATAAAATTTGTAAAGCTGTAAAATGAGATAATCCTAGAAACTAGGCTTTATGTAAGGTAGTACGTTAAATAGACAGTACTAAAAATATTAAGTCCATATATGGGAAAATACATCTTCAATATTATAAAGTGGATTTACAAGAAGTGATTGTTTTAAGTAGTGTTTCAATTTTTTTGTAGTGAATGTCTTCCAATCCACCGGTATAAGATTATATAGTTTAATTGGTAGATAGTCAGTCTGCTTCATTGTTTTAGTGTAGTTCACTCGAGGTAGTCTATCCAATTCTTTATTGCGGGTATTGTACTTGACTTCTGGACAACTTTTTTTTGCAATTCCTGAATGTGTTCTTTCCAGTTCAGGTTGGAATCTATGTGAAATCCTAGTATTTTGACTGATGAGTCATTTGCTGTATTTTTTGAGAAAGTTATTTCTTTAGTTTTGTTTTCATTCAAAGATAAAATATTTGCGTTGAAGTAAACTTCACCTCATGACAGTGTCTCACTTGACATTATATCGATCTCTTCTAAATTCCTGCTTCTGATTAAAAAAGTTGAGTCATCTGCGTACATAAATACATCTGCGATGTCTTAGAAGGTTGGCAGATCAGTCATATAGATTATAAACAATAGTGGCCCCAGGACTGAACCCTGAGGTACACCATGTTTGATTTGTATGGTCCTGGAGGTCACATTATTGTAGTATATGTATTGTTGTCTGTTCGTAATGAATGTTTCAATGAGTCGAAGAGCTGGTCCACGCATCCCGTATTTATGGAGCTTTTCTAATAGAATGTCGAAGGCTTTCGACAAGTCGCATAGGATTGCACGTGTATGTACTCCTACGTCTAGATTTTTTGCTATTGAGTGAACTATCTCAGTAACAGCTTGTGAAGTTGATCTCAGCGATCCAAATCCATATTGGTGGTCATCGAGATGTTCTCCGTTTTCCAAAAAGCTCGTTATTCTGTCTTTGATAATTACTTCAAATATTTTTGATATTATTGGAGTAATTGTTATATATCTATAATTATCACAGTTATTTATATCACCTTTTTTTCATAATTGGGGTTGCTCTACACAGTTTCAGATGTGATGGAAATTCTCCCTTCTCCATGCATGTATTAACTAGGTGTGCGATTGGTGTGCTTAGGATTTCCGGTATGAGTTTGATTATTTTGGAGCTTATGTTATATGAATCCGTAGTTGAACTATTTTGAGTATTTTTATCACACTTGTTATTTCTTTTTCATTTGTGAGACTCAAAGAATACTGAATCTTTCACAGTTATTTTAACGAGATCATTCCCAGATTCATCCGTGAGAGGTATTTGTTTAATAATGTTATCGATCATTGTAGAGCTGAATTCACAGAAATCATTTGCAGTAAGGCAGGTATCGTGGTTGTTACTTTTACCTGACTTACCCTGTATTTCATTTACGATCTTCCAAACTGTTTTTGCCGGGTTCTTACTGTTTGTGATAACGTTATCATACATACTCCTTTTTGCTTTCTTCACATTTTCTGTATAATTTTTATTTTGGTTTGATACATACGTTTTATTGTTTGGATCGTTAGTTAAATAGTAGCTTGTCCAATCTATTCTGTTTATACATTGTACAAACTCAGCTCTACCCAATTCACTTATATGTCTAACTTGTTTAGGCGCATTTTTACCCTGGTTCGAACTATTTTTTATCTCGATTTCAATAAATTGACCATAGTGGTCAGAAATTGCGTTGTAAAGTATTGTAGAATACCAGTCTGAGGAAGCCACTGTTGTAGTGAAACGCATATTGGAAATAGATTCTATAATGTTATACATTTTCATCGTCAAAGAAAAAAAAACTATATTGAAAGACTAAATATAACTGTAAATATCAATCCGTGAAAAAAATCAAGCAAGTGGAAAATGCATAATCTGAAACTATAGGAATCTGAAAATTATGCTGAATTCATACACAATGAAATGAAACTGATAAATTCGAAGGAATCAAATTTACTTACTACTTTCTTTGAAAATGGTTCACTGGAGATTTCCCCTGACGAAAAGCAGATTGATAACATATTGAACAAAATTGTTTTTGAATTTTATTCAAATCAATGAACATTCATGACAACTATTTTTCCATTTGAAAATACTGGAACCTATAATTTTGTAACAAATGCACACTTGTTAGTTCCTAATGATAATAAAAACACTGAATTAATTGTTGAATAGTTTACTAATTATTTATTATAATCATACATTGAGTAACTTAAAATATACCTGGTCTTTCACAGCAAAAATCAGAAATACAGTTAAACATCCTACTTATCAATAATTGCCCAGGCCTCTACGAATTGCATTTCAAAAACTCTACACAAGTCTGGTGGTCTAATATCTGTCTGTCAAAACCAACCACCGAGTTGAGGATCCAAATCAGATACATAAACTAACATTAACAAAGAAAATCTATCCTTTGGTCTCAGTAAAAGAATTGGTTCGGAACATCACCTACAATCAATAAACACCTCACAGAATCAATCCAATGAGTAAAAGGACATCTTGGAAGCAATCATTTTACTTAGGAGAAACCGTACATATCTTCATTTTTATATTTGCCGCTCAATACAAAATACGCGAATAATTTTTTTTTACCTAATGAACACTTTTTATGCAAAAAAGACAAACGTTATCAAAAAAATTTCTAAAACTAACACAATACCACAGTCACATACATACTCCATATTCACAAACAGCCATTGAATGGCCAAAATACGAACATTCTATATATAATAAAGACAATTCTACGTAAATCTTAAAAAATATTTCAATCTCAACAAAACGGAGCAGTCATATTGTCTCACCTCGAAGACAAAAATTGGAACTGGCGAGCACGTCGAAAAATCAATTCAAGAATATAAGTCATTAATCTTAGAATGATAAGGTCTTGGTCACCTTTTCAGTATTATCTGGACTTATAAGCATCTCTCTACATTCATAAAATGCAAACAAGGCGAGTAGAAATTAAGACATTTAAGGTCCTCGTGCATCCCTCGACTCATTTTGAAACAAAAAAATTGAATTCAACATTGCCACCAAGTTGCTTCTTGGTCCTGTTAAATTGGATTTCTGATTAGCTACTCTAATAATTTCTGATTCCAGAGCATTTGTCTCATCAATCTCCATATTTGTTACCCTTACATTGAAGTGACACTCTTGAGATGAAAATGCATAACCACTTGCTCAGGCAACTAGTGATTACAAAAACTGGTTATAAAATATTAGTTGCCTAAGCAAATAATGGTGCAGTATTCTTAAATGATTCAAAAATAAATAAAACATTCTAATAAAAAAATAATACAAAAAGCATAGTCAAAATTGAGTTACAGACGTAATGAATGCGAAGTTCTTCAAGGTAATGTTCTAGAATCCTGCTAGTTAAATTATTTCATACACCAAAAAGAAACTCGGATATTTTGGAAATGAATCATAATCATTTTCATAAGCAACTAGTGATTACAAAGATGAGTGCTGTATTATCGAATATCTGTTACCTATGCAAATGGTTATGCATATTTTGAAAATGAATCATAATCATTTTCATAAGCAACTAGTGATTACAAAGATGGGTGCTGTATTATCGAATATCTGTTGCCTATGCAAATGGTTATGCATATGAAAAAAAGAACTGAGAAACAGAGTGCTTTAGATCTTGAAGAAACCAAATGAACTGATACCTTTGCAATTTTAGCTTTTTTTATATTAATGTATATGCTTCAACTATTTGCTATAAATAATATGTTCAAGGTACGTGAATAGAAAAACCAATACATTTAAGTCGTTTGCATATTTTAGACAAAAATATGTGAAACATCTTAGATTCAATGTTGATTCACAATTTGCGAAATTATGGAGGTTTGCCGCGAGGAGCCTGTTGTCTCATTCAACTTAACCTATATATTACATGCTATGTGCCCACGTTTCAAAACACTTGGGGTCAAAATTAGCAACATTTTTCAAAGTGGGAGCAAATAAAATTACATGAGATATTGATGAAGCAATCCAAAGTTGAAGTAATTGTTTCAGAATAAAATAGTACGATTAAAAACAATGTGAAAAACTCATCAAAATGAATAAATAACTGAAATTTCAACGAGTTTTCCCTAATATTACGAGATTCTATACTCGACGACACTTGATATTCTGTTGTAAGCTCATCACTGCAACAACCTCTACACTTGAAACAAATTTCAATCAATGCTTCATCACCATCAAAAAAGGGAAGGGTACTAACATTATAGTAACCCTCAGAAGTAACCTCCATGAACAGATAAATCTAAACAGGAAGTATTAGAGAGAAATTTCTGGTAAAAGTATCGAATTTTCCATGACATCTCCTTTTTGGGGCACCGAGAAAGATTTTTATCAATTTCAAAATCTTGAAAACGTTTCAATGATACTTTTTCATGTTGAAAACCCTTCAGACTGTTATCAAGTTCATTCTGACATTCTCGAATCATACTGGTCTCTGCTTGATGAAAATACTTTTTATCTATGAATAATTACATTTGAAAAACTTGCCTCTGTTAAAAAAACAAATTGAAAAATATGTACAAATTATTGACGTTAGGCTCAACAAAAAAACAATTTTTCAAACTATAAGGAAAGGAGATGATGGATATTCAGTAAAACTAATTATTGAGAGACTGAAATTTCATACCTTTCATGTTTGCAATTAGACTGACAATATTCTTGATATGAAATTCATTTGTTCAAGTTCATGTCTTTAAATCTCTCAATTTATTATGATCAAAGTCAAAAGTTTTTGAAGATTCCATTTTTCCAAAAAAAAAGAAAGATCCGACAAATTCTGTCTTATATGAAAAAACCATCCTACGAGAACTTATTTCATTGAATTATTTATAAGCAGAAGGTTTTGATGTCACAGTTTTGTTATTTCCACAAATATTTACTGAATCTGGCAACAACACTGCTGAACTGTATTATAACAGAGAGAGAGAGAGAGAGAGAGAGAGACATACGTTTTTACCAATGATCGGTTGCCAGATTGCCCTGCAATAGCAAAAAAAGTGATGTAGATAAAATTGAATGTATGACAATTATTTTAGAAGCGGATAATCTTCTTTCTAACTTTCACAAATATTTACCGAATCTGGCAACAACACCACTGAACTGTATTGTGAGAAACAAATGGAGAGACGAGTTTTTAACAATGCACTGTTGCCAGATTGTGCTGCGATGGCTTAATAAGTGATGTTTGGTTCGAAATTCTTTCACGAATTTAATGTATAAGGATTAAAATCACCTCATACTACCAATCGAGAATAAAAACTCTTCCCAAGTGAGCTAAAGCGGAAACTACAGGAATCTGGAAAAAATCAATCTGGATTACTTCCTAATGCCGGCAGCGGAATGAGAGAGAGAAAGAGAAAAGAGACCAAGAGAGCTTGGAGAGCCTTCGACTCCGATTCCAATAATCTTACATTCGAATATCAATTTTCCAACGCACGAAGAAAAACCTTCAACGATCTTGGATCCACCACTGCCGTCCAGCTCGATATTTCAATGTATTCCTGCAGCTGTCGAAAAAAAAAAAAGGGAACAAAATAGAAAAAATAACATATTTACAAAATATATAATACAACAAAACAGTCTAGCACTCATGTGGTACACTTGTCAAAAAAAAAATATTGTAAAGCTTTATTTCGAAGGAAGCTGTGCTTGAGAATATATTTTTCCGAAGACTTGTTAGGTTACAACTATATACACCATATGGCAATGTTCTCAACGAAAGACAAGGACTGAGCGCGCTTGTCCGGAGATACACCAGTAGATGGCGCGCTCACCAACCCCGAGATTCACGTACCATCACATCGGCGAAAAAGACTCGCTTTTTCCACGTCCAAACGCGTCCCGCGTTACCTTCTTCGGGCATAGTTCGATTATTTGGTTACTTCATTACATTCCTACAAGTTAGCAGTCATTGAAAAACACTTCACTGCACTAAACAGTCTGATGTATTATCTTCGGTCTCTGTACAGGAGGTACGTTTGTAAGGCTTGTGGCAATTGCAAACTCATCACCTTCTCTTCTAAATGCTGCTTTCCTAGGCGCTGCCGAATCACGCGTCGGCACAGGTCCATAAGAGGTAGAGGTTCAGCTGGAAAAAATAAAAAAACGATTGAGTGACAGGTGGATTGATGATATAATATCGCGTTGAATATTTTTTCGAAGGCCCGACAAAATACCACTTATTCAAAGGAAAGAAGGATTGAGTAACAAGATTTTGTGTTCCAAATAATGGTGGAGTATTATCTGTGGCGCTGCATTGTTCAATTTATTGATTAAATAAAATATGGAGAGTTATTGAGAAAAAGCGTACTTTTTTCAATGAAACTTTTTAATCTCAGCACAGTTTCACATTTATTGAATGGAACTGGCCGATACTCGACGAAAATCCAGATTAATTTTGATTTTAACAACAAACGTATTTACAAAATGGCGACACGTGTTTCGCTGTACTAGATAGCTTTATCGAGCAAGATTTATTTATTTATTTGTGATACAATTCTACAGGAGTATTGTATCACAATTACAGAGCAGAAAATAATAGAGTATAATAAATACATCACAAACAAGTGACTGTAAAGTCTACAAACACTACAAACAATACAAACAAATCTATACAGACTATACATTTTATATTTATAATCTGTTTAAAATATGTTTTTCCGTTAATCAGCTGTCGCTCCCATATAAACGACAACTCTCAGAAGTTGATAAACTTGTGCAAGATAAGGACTAACGAGGTCTTACCTTTCAACGTGTGATTCCTAACACGGTGACGAAACAATTATTTTAGAAAGTGGGATTTTATATCTGACAATTTGCAACTAAATATATTTAAATTATGGCTAACAGAGTTTGTCACTTTACACATGGTATAGACCAGAGAATTTTCCAAAACATTCGTGCGAGATGTTTTGTGGAAGAAGCACTTGTGCTAACTGAGTTGAACTTCGCCTTTTGTTTGTGTCAGCAACTAGCTCTGTAATTTATTCATATATTTGTATGCAACTACAAAGACGATTATTATTATTATTATATAGAAAGTACTCGGGTGTCTGGAACAGATTCTTGGAATGCAAATATTAAACTTTTCCAGTAATGTTGGGTAGTCAACTATGCTTTTGATAATTTTATAGGTTAGTATAACACTATAATATGCACCCCTTTTTTCAAGACTGAAAAAGTTATGCTCTTGTAGCAATACAGAGTGGGTTGTCCCTATTGGAGAATAAATGCCATCAGTTTTTAGGCTAAGCAGTTTTAAAAATCGTCGTTGAATTGCTTCTATTCTATCTATATGATATTGATAAAAGGGGCTCCACACAACTGACGCATATTCTAACTTTGATCTTATGAAAGCATAGAATAGAGTGTTTGAGGTCGAAGTTTCTTTGAAATTAAATTTCTTTGAATTAATTGAATGCTGTTACATGCAATTAATTCGTAAAAACGACAGGAGGAGGTTACAATATTATCGATATGCCTATTAAATGATAGTGCAGTGTCAAATGTGACGCCAAGGTCAGTAAATGTTTCTGGTCTCACCAGGGAAACGTTTTCGATTGAATAATCAGATCAAGATGTTCGTTTTCAAACTGTAGGACATGACCTTACATTTATCCGGATTAAGCGAAAAGTTATTTCGATAACACCATTCTACAACCCATCCTATGTTCTCAACGAGGCAGTATAGTTTTAGATCATCGGCATACAAAAGGAAATATACATCTATAATGTCTGCAATATCATTAATGAAGATATTAAAGAGCAACGGTTCCAGATTTGACCCCTGTGGAACACTGGAAGAAGCTCTGTATCCGGTAGATTTAAAACCACTGAGCTGAACATATTGTTTTCGGTCCCGTAGATAGGACTGAAAGAGTGCTATTGAGGATGGAGATAATCCAAAGGCTACTAGTTTGTTCAGTAGAATACCATAGTCGAACCTGTCGAAGGCCTTAGAAAAGTCTGTGTAAATAACATCCGTTTTGGCCCTATTGTCAATAGATTCAGCAATATGTTGGGTTATAGTCAGAAGATTGGTGGCCGTTGCACGATTTTTCATAAAACCGTGTTGATTTATACTTATATTACAACTTACATGCCGATATATAACTCGCAGAATCTCAAAAACCTTTGCAAAGTTGCAAATAATAGAGATAGGCCGATAATTTGAAATATCTCATCTATCTCCTTTCTTGAAAATGGGACAGACTTTTGATGATTACCAGATCCTTGGTATTGTAGCCGATCTTAAGCAGATATAAATTAGTATAGATAGAATACGAGCAAGCACAAATGAACAATCTTTTAGGATGGAAGCTGGAATGTCATCTAGACCAGTGGTCTTTTTAGGCTTAAGCGACCTTAGTGCTTCGTATACTTCGTTTTTACTGAAAGTTGATACATCCAGAAAGTGATTATCATCAATATCATACTTTGGTTGAAAAAAGGGACGAAACGGTATACGATTGTTTGATAAGATTGGCAAAACCGTTTACGATATTAGATATTGTTTATAAATGACCAAAATCTGTTGGGATTGATATGTATTTCTTCCTCAGTTCCATCTAAGAATTTTTTGTATGCCACATCAACATCATGCTTTATTTTTGCCCGAAGGCGTTTGAAATCTTCAAGGTCTTGCAAATTACACTCACGTTTGTATTTGCGCCAGATTCTACTTTTAGCCTGCACATGTCTAATAATGCTTCTATCATACTAAGGAGGATATTTATGTTTAGATTTAACTGTATACTTGGAAGAGCAGCTAACAAAAACATTATAAAGTTTTCCATAGAAATATATGGATGCATCTTCTAAGTCATCAAGAACTTTCAAGAAGGTCCAGTCAATATGAGATATTTGATTATACAGTTGTGGATAGTTGGCTCTTTTGAAATTATAAATATTCTGGAAACAGGAATGTAGTTTATTTTTGTAGTTAGTCTTTTTCTCAAGCACACAAGTAATATCCAAGGCAGGATTTGATTTAAACCTTGCCTTATCATGGAAAAATTCCTTATGTGAATCTTTGATGCTTTCAGTTGTCAACTACGCAGATATTTGATTTAAACCTTGCCTTATCATGGAAAAATTCCTTATGTGAATCTTTGATGCTTTCAGTTGTCAACTACGCAGATATTCTTTATTGGCCATATTCAACCACTCTCCTTTGTAATATACATGCTCACATCATTATTGGTTTTAAAAGCTATATTTACACCTTTATGTTTTAAGAAATCGAAAATCTGCAAACCAGGCTGGCCTAAATATGCTAGCTTACTATGATAATTTTCCTCTAGTTTGTTGGAATCGAGTGAATCTCCTTTATTCCTTGACCATATACTTTTCTGGAGAGTAAAGAACCTATTAAATTGCTATCATCACCATTGTTTTATCAAATTATAATTTTCTTCAATCTCCATAGTGAATATGAGCAAAAGGAGTAGCAAACTGATGAAATTTGGACACAATTGTCCATTTGTTTACGTGAAACATGATAGAATGTCATCGACATATCTGTACCAATAAAGAAAGTTTATACATAACTTCCAATGGCCTAGAGGAGATGGTTCGTTTTTTTTTTATCAATGCGATGAACCTTATTTGCCTGTATTTTTCAAACAAGTCGACTTGAATCTGTTTTTTAAAAAACTGCGATAAAGCATTGTCAATACTGAGAAGTTCTATATAGGCCAAGACGAGTCATATTTTGCAACACTGGTATGATGAAAAAATTAAAATTTATTATGCAGCTGATATTTGAGCTAGAAGATAGAAATTAAATTTTTCCTATCATTCTTTTAGAAAAAAAATTAACTGATAATGCGAACGTCACTAAAATTTTTTCGGTTATTTTTCATCTAGATCAGAGGGGGCGTGACCCCTGTATAGGATAAATATTCAAAACTAAATATGAATCAAAGTATACTCACGATCCAGTCCTCCAATATATCTCATAGTTATTTCACAATGTCCCCAAACAGCACTAACTATCGGATACAACTTCCTTCCTTTGAGTCCCCTGAACGCGACTCCTAAGTACTGGCCATCCACTACGAAACTAAGCGTACCTTCGTCCATATCCAGCACCACTAGGAATTTATCTGGCACTATGAAAGTCTCGTCAGGTTTTAGTAACGCTGGATAAGTCACTCCAGGAGAGTTCTTCGAATCGTGGTACAATTTATTACGACCTGTAAAGAGAAAAAAATGGATATGTAGGAAAATATGTGACGGGAGGCAGAAAACCACTGATGTTGGTGATGAGCCAGTTTAATAATTCATAGATTTGAAATATAAAGAAATTTTGCTGGTAAGTGTATACTTTACATATGGTTAAGTTTAATGGCATACCAAATGCAATAAAAATCAATCCAAATTTGTCAGAATTCAAAGAGCTCTGCTATGAAATAAAGATATATTCTGTCTCAATTGCTACATCATAAAAATCGCAATTGACAGTGTACAATAACGTGTACAATAACGCCAAAACATTACAATATATTAATTTACTTCATCATAACAGCAACCTAGATTAACAACAAAAGATCAAAAACAAGTTGTTCATATTTCCATTTATTATCTATCTGGTAGTCAGTTCTCTGTTGCATGGAAAAAACTCAAAATAATTATGTTAATGTTGAATTTTGCGAATGAACGACTGGAAGGTCAAAGGAGAACCGTAGACTACACGAAAGAAAGAAGTTCCAAGTTTTTAACTCGTGAAATGACGATATTTACAAATCAAAGGAGGTTAAGTTTGATCCAAAACGAAGATACTCACCTAAATCCCATCCCCATGACGTATCTGTACTCCCCACTAAACTTTGGTAGCCGACAGAATGAAGAGGTGCCTCTGCTGTAGCTACGCCTACTACGGCATGCGTACCTCTCTGCCTTGTCGACCAACACACTTCCCAACAATGCATTCCTTTCGTGAGACCCACTTTTCCTCTAATGCAGTCTGTACTTTGGGCCACCGGGTGCCTGTGGAGAAAAACAAACAAAATTATTTATTGCACTAGCAATTGCAATAAAGTTGCTATAAGAATGAGAGGAACTGTACTGAAATGGTTTAAAGACCACCTAAATAACCGAAAACAAATCACTAAAGTGGATAATGTTTATTCAAATCCTATCATCACAAAATTTGGTGTACCTCAGGGTAGTGTATTGGGTCCTTTAATGTTTTTAAAGGACCCAATACACAAGCCGATATCGGCTTATGTCACAACTGTGATTTCATGAATTTATTCACTGATGATACACTGCTGTCTATATCTCATAAAAGCCTAGATGTAGCTGTAACTAAAATGAATTCTTCTTTAGAAAAAGTTGATCGTCAATAAATTGAAATTAAATATATCCAAAACTAAAGCCATGATTCTAACTACACCATACAAATACAAACAACTCAATATAAACTACTGCCTATTGAAAATCAACGAAAATGAAATTGAACTTGTAACAGAGTTACAATACTGGGCAACGGCTTATCTTTAAATTCACATCACACATATGTAACAAAAAAAATAGCAAAGAAACTTTATTTTTTCACAAGAATCTCCACTCACTTGTCTACTGCTCCCAAAATCACAATATGTAACACAATTATACAGCCACATTTTGATTACTGCAGTACACTGTTATATGGTTTAGATCAAAACAAAATTATGTCATTACAAAAACTACAAAATAGAGGCACCAGAGTGATTTTGAAATGCAACCGGTATATCAGTATAACATTTATGCTGGATGGTCTACAATGGTTCGCAGTAGAAGACAGGTTGTATAAAGCAGCAATGATATTTATTTTCAAAACTGTTAATAATATGCTACCATGAATATTTCTGTGAATTTATTACATTTAGAAGTAGCACACATAATTATAATACATTACATTTGTTAGATTGCATTTTTGCCAAAATGCAATCTAAAGGCCATTGAATATTCGCATTGCCGAGCACAAGAAGCACACACAGCGAGGAGAAACCAGCAAATCAGGAATAGCAGACCATGTTTGGACCCATCAACACAACATCGAGTGGTCCCAAGCTGAGATCTTGCACAGAGATGTATCTCCTTCAACAAACCAGATATTGCCTGTCACATAAAATGTGGGACACCCGGTATAAACAATGATTAGGTTGAACTCAGTCAGTATGAAAACGCCTGAGGAAGTAACTCTATATTGAAACACGTATTAAGGCTATTTTGTAAACTATTCAGTGAAAATCTCACAATGAAGTATCATTCACAACAAATGAGTCAGGTTTCACTGTAAGCGAACTTATGGCTGAATCTAGTTAAGATCCATATAAAATATAAGAATTGAACGAGCTCAACGTCTAAGCCGGGCTTAATTATCTACGGAGAATACGCCTATAAGTCGCCAAGGTGAAATGTTTCACTTTAAGAAAGCTCAAAGCTGATTTTTGTTATAATACATATAAAACATACGAATTAAGCGAGCTCAATTCAGCTTAATTCGTCTAAGGTCTATACGAAGAATCCGGCCAAGGTGAAAGATTCAACTGCAAGCAAGCTCAAGACTGATTTTTGTTAGGATGCATATAAAATTGACAAGCTTAACGGCTAAGCCAAGCCTTATATAAGGTAATTGATCTTTTTAATGCTTTGATACTACATTTAGATGTTGAATTCGTTTTGTCCATTTTTGACTATGAACATTGACAACAAACGACAACAACCTATTCAACACCCTAACCTAAAACTTGTGTGAGAATAAAGTTTCGATGCATCCGCTAGTTAACCCGACACTGAAAAGACATCAAATACAACAGTTTCCACGCATCCGATACACATGTAATTGATCCTACTGGTAGAGAATCACCCCCGCAAGCAACACTTTGAAATAAGAGCTTCGAACTCACCTGTGAAACGTAAGTTTGTCATCTTCTTTGACAAATATGTTGAGAGAGCGGTCGTCCTGGTTCCAACTATACTTCAATTGCGTCTCCCTGAGTGCTGGTGGCATGTCGAGTAACATATCGAGCCGAGGAGGGCGGGCAAAATCCTGCAAACATGCATTTCGTTTAAGTACAGAAAACTGAAATAGCACCATGTTGGAAGAACTGCTATCCAAAAAAAGGGCAATGTTTTTGGTGTCAGTTTGTTTTTACCGTTAAGTGATTAGAAAAAGTAGCTTCCACAAAATAATGATGATGAATATTCTGATCTACCTGGGGAAGACTAGAAGGGTTCTATAGCAACAAATATTGATAATTGACTCAAACGTGCTGCACAGAAGGAAAAAAATAGCAATAGCAGGGTTCGATCGATAGATAAAGTAAAGATAAAATAATTTGTTGAAACAGCTTTCATTTTAAACACTGGCAATATTGTTGAAACATGAAAAACATGCTCGGATAAAATGAAAAAACAGTTTTTTATTATGTTTCGGCTCCTAGATGGGCACCCTAATCAAAATACAGGGACAGTTATTTTGCGGGGTTGTGAATCTAAATCCAGCCAAAACTTGGCTAGCTATGAGCTATCAAAAATTCAATATGGCGTAAATTTCAAATATTTTTCATTTTGCCAACATCATACCTACAGGGCTGAAATTTGGAACGAATGTCTTTGAATGCCCTTTACTTGACTAACCGATACGAGTGCTTCGGTTGGTGTGGGAAATTTATTTTGGTAAGATTCGTTTTTTGCCAGTGGCTTCATTTACACTCATCAAGTTCAAAATCATTAGGTTATTCAAATCATGTTGACCATCTTTATAATAAATGTAAATAACTCCAATTCATCGACATCTAGACAAACTTTGGATGATGACCTCATCGATATAAATTGAAAACAGTAATGATCCCAGATGGGAACAACCTCTAGGGACGTCAGAAGACTGAAGAGGATTTCCATCCATAAACCGAGAAGATATGTTACCATCCACCGTACCAACAACTACAAGTTTCGGTAAGTAATATACTGGATAAACACAAAAACAGAAGCAGATGATATAGAAGATCTTCTCTGGGTAAACTTTTTGGGATCAGAAACTACAAATTTGTCTCCTGGACTGCGCGTCGAGATCAATATGTAAAAAGTCATGCTCGTCAACGGAAACGGTTATATTATGTTTTAGGATTACAGAAAAAGCTTAAGCTCATTAACGACTAGATTGGAACCTTTGGTATGAAAGTTGAATAACTTTTTCGAGATCAATTGCCCTAACACCAAACTGATATTTCTGCACTCGACGCACGTTTCGCCAACAAAGTTAGCATCCACAGGATGCTTAAGCTCATTAGAAGAAAGGATTTCTTCAGGCTGCTTTCTTGGATTTTATGACATTACGTCCTTGGAATCAAACCAGGCGTTGAGGATGAGGAGGATCGACGATACAAGCTGCAGGAGAAAACTTGTAAACATAGCCACTGTGGTGGAAACAGTGGCGGCATGGCAAGAGTTATCATTAGTGGGTCTTGGCCCACAGTTATGAAATCATGTAATGCACGAATTTCTAAATCTTTCTGGACTGACTTCCAAGCAGAAGTTTATACAATCTTGCGAGGAATTTCAATTTGCTCGTAAACGAAATAGATCAACTTAACTGGATACCAAGGTACTCAGAAATCACAGAAAACGAAAAGCTGGGCTGTGAGTTAGATACGGACTCATATGTGGGTTCCGAACTAGATCTGAAAGTACCAAAATCTATCGTATTGGACAAGATCAGAGAAGGAATGAATAAGAAACATAATGAGGACCGACAAAAAACAGGAAAACACGAGAAAACCTTTGCAAAGAGACCGTTCAAGAAAGGAACCGAAGACATGATTCAGTAGGTACTTCAGAAATTAGCTCAGAATAAATACAGGACTCACTGGAAACAGTCCAAGGAGTGGTCAGAGTAACGAATATCCAACAAAGGACAGAGAAGTTTATTGGAGTGGAAAAACGCAGCCAGAATATAACTTGAATATATCATTGACTTTCAATATGATAAAAAAATCTTATTTTTCCATTTTCTTCATATGAATTATTAAGATGACTTATTGGGTAAAATAGATGTCCTGATCAGGTTTCGTGTACCAATCATCATTGTTAGTTTCACGAATATACAGAATCAAGGGTAAATTACCTGCGCCAATTCTCTGGGAATGACCGGTTTATAGGGGGCGGCGGCATCTCTATTAACGGCCTTGACTCCTCCTGAAACCTTCTGGCCCATGCTCATTCCACGAACCCTTCGCCGGGCCGTCTTGCACGGCACCACGGCCGCCTTGTACGCCCTTCGCACCTCGTACAGCCTACCGCCGCCTCCGCCTCCGCTGCCCCCACCGCCTCCGCCACTGCTTATGACCCCGCCGGTTCTCAGTGCGTTGACTCTGATGCCGCTTTTGTATCTGAAACAAAAAAAGAGTCGGTTAAAATTGTGTGTGGCAGAAAAAAAATGAAAAATGGCTGATTAATTACCAGAAAAAATCTTTGAGAATAACAAGAAAAAAACTGTGTAACATTTGAAAATATGTAGTTTCATGTCTACGAAATTGTCATAATTCAGCAAAACTCAGACACCGAATTTGGTACTCGCCCATTTCGTACGGGTACAATTATTTAGAGAAGCACAGTTCAAGCCTACGGTTTTTTATACCCATCTCAACTTCAAAGCAATTTTATAATTTAAAGAAGAATTTAAATGTACATAATCAACCTCGAATATAAAACTATTTAGTTGGATGAGGATTATTATTATCATACAAATATAATCATTGATGCGCATGCCAAATAATGAAGTTTGTTGGGGATCTCTAGTTTTGTTGAAAATAATATACAAGCCATGTTACTAGCTGATAAGGCGTTTTCTCAGCACACGTAACACGCCGATAATGCGTTAACTCAGCACGTGTTACTCGCTGATAATGCGTTTTCTTAACACATGTTACTGGCTGATAATGCGTTTTCTCAGCATATGTTACTCGCTGATAATGCGTTGACTTAGCACGTGTTACTGGCTGATAATGCGTTAACTCAGCACATGTTACTCGCTGATAATGCGTTTTCTTAACACATGTTACTGGTTGATAATGCGTTTTCTCAACATATGTTACTCGCTGATAATGCGTTGACTTAGCACGTGTTACTGGCTGATAATTCGTTAACTCAGCACGTGTTACTCGCTGATAATGCGTTTTCTTAACACATGTTACTGGCTGATAATGCGTTTCTCAGCACGTTACTCGCTGATAATGCGTTTTGTAGCACATGTTACTCGAATATAATGCGTTTCTTAGCACATGTTACTCGTTGATAATGCGTTTTTAGCACATATTACTCACTGATCATGCGTTTTATTATGTGTAGAGAAACCCATAAATATTGAAATAAATTATGTAACGCTATATCCTTCTGAAACAACAAAATTGATAGGGTTACCTATATATTGATTCAGACTTGACTTGACAAATTTTCTATTTGGACGAAACTTGGTATGACACTCAAATTCTTATATAATCAGAAATGATTATTGAATAACGGAATTAGTTAGCTCCCTAACTATATTATTAAAGGGGATCAATACCTGAAGATGAACTCAACAACACTTTTTTATGAACGAGCACATACAACAATGAAAACAGAAATCTGAATGAGCTGGAAATTGACCTAAAATGTGACATCTAATATTTTCAGCAACTTCGTTAGTAGTGTTTTTAGCTGTCGTTTAAAAAGTGGGGTAAAATAAAGACCACAATTACTATACCAAACAAACCAATAAGCAAATGGAGTAAACATTACGTATAATACAGTTTTTTCACAACAACCATCTCGATCATCTGCTCGCTATACCGATAAAACAAACGAGTAAAAAGTAAGTGACGGCCTCCCAAGTTCCCCAATCGCGTGTCAGCTGTGTTTTCCCAACTTTAAACACACACAAAACTATTCCCGTCACTTGGAGCACCCCCACGGTTCAGCGTGCTATTGAAACAGCTGACTGTAGGAGGCAATCAACTGACATGTGTAACATTTCTCCTACGCGGTACACGGAATTTGGGTTGGATTTTTTAGAGATAAATATCGGAGGAGTTTCAATAGTACTGGCTTCAACAATTTATATTCTGATGGGATATCTGTTTCTTCAAATTCATACCATTTGATGTGTTCCTATACTTGTCGATATATTTTATTGTAAAAATCAAAGAAGCATAAGGTTGCCATAATAAGAAAAGTCAGGTTGTAAAATTGATTATTTAAAAACCAACATTTTTAATAAAAGTATTTTGAGTTGTTCTAAGCAAGAATTAATTCCATAATTGATGACCTCGATTTTTTGTTTCAAAATAGTTAAGATGTTCTTGCAGAAATTACTCATTGAACCAAAACACACATCTCTAAAACTAAAGGAATGTAAACTTCCCTATGGTGAAGATTCCATTTTTTGTGACACTTCACAAAAGCTTGTCCGACCTTATGTACCTGAAGCATTCAGAAGAAAAATATTCAATATAATGCATAATCTGTCTCATCCCGGAATTAAAGTTACCACTAAATTGATAAGCGAGAGATATGTTTGGTCAAATATGAAGAAAGACATTAAAAAATTGACTCAATGTCAAAAATCCAAAATTAATAAATATGTGGTAAGTCCCGTAGGTGTTTATGAGGTATTTAAAAGTCGTTTCGAACATGTTAATATCGACTTGGTTGGACTACTTCCTCCATCAAATGGATATACGTACTGTTTAACTTGCATAGATAGATATTCAAGATGGCCTGAAGCTTTTCCTATAACCAATATAACTGCAGAAACAGTGGCCAAGAAATTTTATGAAGGATGGATTTCTCGATTTGGAGTCCCGTTAAGAATAACGACCGACCAAGGAAGACAATTTGAATCTTCACTTTTCAAAGAATTCTCAAAATTGCTGGGTATGCAGCATATAAGAACGACAGCTTACCACCCATCGGCTAATGGAATGATTGAGAGATTTCATCGCACAATGAAGGCAGCACTGAAGTGCCATGAATCAGGAAAGTGGACGGACCTTCTTCCTACAATTTCACTGGGAATCAGGGTTTCAGTAAAGGAACAATTGCAGTGTTCAAGTGCTGAATTGGTGTTTGGAACAACCCTCAGGATCCCAGGAGAACTTATAATAGAAAGGACTGTTCCTTTCACTACTTATCAATAGTTTCATCAAAATCTTAGAGAAAACATGATAAAAATGAGAGCAACGCCTGGAAAAGTATTCTTGCAAAACGAAATATTAACTTGTTCCCATGTGTTCATTAGAGTTGACACTGTTAAAAAAGCCCTTCAAACACCTTATAATGAACCATTCAGGGTGATTAACAGAAACGAGAAATATTTCACTCTATTAGTAAATGGAAAACACAAAAATATTAGTATTGATCGTTTGTAACCAGCTTTTGTTGAAGAATTCGAGGGAGAAAGAACCGGAGAAAGAACATGTGAAGCACAAAAGATACAGAGAAGCACCAAAAAAATTGTTCATTTCGAGTGACCATCTTCACTGGAGGGGGAGTACTGTGGTGACCATTCTGGCTCCTATACCTGTCGATATATTTTATTATAAAAAACAAAATAGCATAAGGTTGCCGTAATAAGAAAAGTCAGTTTGTGAAATTGATTATTTAGAAACCAACATTTTTAATAAAAGTATTTTGAGTTGTTATAAGCAAGAATTAACTCCATAATTTTGTTTTGAAAAAATCACATATGATGACGACTTCACTGGTCACACTGACTGTTTGATTGTGTGTATTCGATAACCAGTCAATTCTACTTGAAAGTGAAATCGATTCAAACCGGCGATTTCTTGATATTACATACAGCCCATGTAACAACCTGTCTAAACAACTCACGGTTAGCTAAATAAACAAAAGCCCGATTTCGATTTACGTAAATCCACTCTAATCTCAAATAAAAACATTGAACTAATTTTCAGTTTCGCAAATACAAATACACACTCTTGAATCACGTAAAGAGAACCAGACTGAACCGGTTGAATTCTAAAAACTCCCCGCAACTGTTTCTCAATTTCAACATTTCGCAAATAAGTGAAAATTGACGAAAAATAAATCATTAATAAGTGAAAAATCTGTGAAAACTTACGCTCCATCGTTGCGTCGGCACGCAGCATTCAAAAACTGTAGATCCATAATCAACTTCTCGCTATCATTTTTTTGTCATGACCGATCAGTTTTCTTATGAATGATCACCGATTATTTTTTTAACGATCGTACCGACCACGGTTTGCCTTATTCGCGGTCGTTTACTGGACTGGTCTCGGTCAAACTTTATTTCTGATACAAAGGAATATTAGAATGTTAATGTTCAAGGATAACTGAGATGTCAATGGCATCGTTACAACAAAACAAAAATTCACGCCGAGGTAAAAGTACACTGCGGCTTCAGCATGGAAGAAATAATTATTGCTTGTCTGCTGAATTAGTACCGAACCTTAAGTACGGTAACGTTTGAAATTGATATTGTGTTACACTTGGCAGAGAAATCAACTTAAGGCTACCCGTACACTTGGAACTCCATTTAAGCAACTTTTCAATAACTAAAAAATTCAATTTTTTTTTATTTTCTCGTTACAAAGTTACTGCCAATCTTCAACTGGTTCAACAGCCAACCGTGTGTATCTTGGAACAACTTGTCAAATCTAGGAAGCGACTTGTAACATTTCACTGACAGAGAAANAGGCATTTGAGGCAAAAATCACCAAAACCTTCAAAGAATTATGCAATCAATTTCTCAGAAATTGATAATTTGGTCCCAAGGAACAACATACTGAAATACTAGATTTATTTGAACTGAACTGATAAATACTCCGAGTAGACTGATATATAATTTTGAATTTCGTCTGAAATAAATAAATGCATTTATTTCAATATTTGGCAAAATTCTATGCATGATCTGAACATCTTTGTATGGACTTGATTTTTTGAAATTGTTTTCTTTATTTCTGTTTTTTAGATTCTCACTTTTTGTATAAAGATGAAAAAGTACAAATTCAAAAACTCTCCCAAAAACTAATGTCAACTGAAAATATATATTTTCTTACAAATTCGTAATCTACACGTCAAATTACGTAGTTGTACACACATTTTTTTTTAAATTCGCGAGTACAACCAATCCGAAATTTTATCAAATTTTTTAAAGTTGATTCAAACTCATAAAACCCAAACGACTTGGCCAACTAAGGTATTAAATCAATGGCGGCACCACGTACAATATATAAATGACAATGCGATATTTTCGGTGGCGGTGGAAACGAAAATGCGCGCGAAATTCAAAAAAATTTCGAAATAATTGTCCTAGATAGGCTGTCATGTAAACCGAACCACAATATTATATATGAAATGAACATGTTTT